AGCATGTGCGAAGGTCGAGTCCACACATGCTTTTGGGTACAGACAGTACTCGACCTATACTACTTATGCTACATGCATGAGCTCTAGCTCTGCTGCCTAGACCGAAATATGACAGTTGTAAAATGCAGTTTTGTATACATGCTCGTTTTAGTGGTTTTTGGGGCTTTTACGAAAAATGTTGTAAGTCCAAAAGGAACCATTATCTAGTCAAAAAAATTTTGGGAATCTTCATAGATGTGTTGCCTCTACCATCCATAGAAATGCGAACTCGAAACGCGAATATCGATTGAGCAACGTATAAGGAAATCGGTCGCTATTTCCATGCAATGGCTCTTTTGGTGAATGATACTGCAGTTTACGATGAAGGATATTGTAGTATACGTCAAAATACGACATTGTTTACGACGAAATACGATGACGTCCACCGTGGAGAAGGATTACGACGTCATATTTTGTCTGAAATGTATGCGACCGTTTACGATGGGATACGTCAAAATACGACGTCGTATACGATGTCGTAAAACGTCATATACGGTCGTTTTTCGTCGTATACTGCCAATTTAAATTGCTAATCCAGTCATCGTTTTGTTATCTACGATTGATTCCACTATGTTTTACTCGGACTTTTCTTCGAGAATATAGTGCAATCAAATTTTAATGCGTTAGTCGAACAAACAATGCTTTTGTCATGTTATAATCTCTACCTGAAAAGGAAAAATCAGTATAAATTAGAGAGTCAGGTAGTAAATTCGACGTACGTACACAGTAAATTCAGCTCTCTGTTTCCTTATCTAAATAGGTATCGTTTTCGCTAGTTACAGTGATACACTATCGGATTTTTGGACAAATCTTCTTTTGAGACACATTTCTTTCGCAGATTAACTCAGTCCATATGTGTCACAAAAAGCAAGTGGAAAACAATAACTTTTGATTTAAAAGAGTCACTTAAAAAGAAAGTGTATCCGAAGGTAGCTGAAACACTGATTTCACCGTGTTTTACCGTGTTTTCTCGTCGGGAACATAATGCAGTCAGGGCAATCATTCACCTCAGACTCACTTTGAAGTTGAGATCAAAACTTGTACATAATCGTTTTATTAACACGCCCTCTCTTTGTCTAAATCCGTTCTATTTATCATAAGAACCATATTAATAGTTTTTTCTCATGTATTTCTCAATTATGGTTTGCCATATAACTGGCATTTGATCTCAGAATAAAAGTGAGAGCGGTTAGACGTTTTATAGTTCGCCTGTGAGTTTTACCGTAAGGTAACGTTTGCCGTATGTGAAGAAAACATTCACGCTTGGGCTATCAGAGAATGTATATTCGTAGATATTATTGCTAGGATCAGTTCGTTATTAGAGCCAATCTAATATTCTGTGAATGAGGCGGAATGGCTGAGCCCCAATCCTCCGCGCGCCAAACAGAACCGAACTGATCATCCCTACATCCTGACAGTCACTAACGGCAAAGCGATCTTACATCGAGGATACTAACAATTATTATAACATCAACCTTTCATGCATTTCTCACTTCTGTGCAGTTTTATTTTGAGATCTTTACACAGCAAACATTGACTGAGTCTATACACTGAGGAAACCCCTATATTTGCTGCATTCATGACAAAGAAGACCCAATTTTGATACCCAACATGAATGAAGAAAAATTGTATTTACTCTGTAATTATTTTGTCTGGTTATTTTACTGATATAGTTCTACTATTTAAAGGTTCCAAAAGCAGATATAAACTGCCGAAAAGTTCGAGTATAAAAGTAGTTTACCTTAAGAAATACAGTACCTTATATTACAGACACTGGTTTTTGTCTCGTTTAAAATAAGGAAAAAATATATATAAGGTGCACGCAAAGCAAAATTTTAGCAAAATTTTGCTTTGCGTGCACCTTACGTATAAAGGAAGCATGCTTCTTCGTTTGAAGAAAAATGTTAGAAACGACAGATTGCTCCACGTGCTTATCCACGTGATATAAATGTATATATATATATATGAGTGATTCTGATAAAAATAGTACCGCTTTTGTGAAAAAATTTGACCGAAACAAAAGGTAAATATCTAAGTTTTTTCTTATCATCTATAGATAGTGTGTACCTAGGAGTATCACAAAACACGGGTTAGCAAACTACCACTAGATTTGATAAGCATTTTTCTATTATCGGCGTCAAAACACCGTGCACTTGGTTGGATTTGGAATATCTTTTGATAGAAAAGAGCTAAAGAGCTCCGATTTTCACCAGTGGGAAGAGGACACTTGGGGGCATATTTCCATAACTAAAATTGTTTTCATAACAGTTTTCTGAAACAGGTTTTCTAACAGATCTTTGGAAAACTATGTCGTCTGTAAACATTTTCCAATAGAATTGTACTGCTTTTTTCTCATGGACTGATAGCCTGGGATGTCCCCTTCAAAATGGGGGTAAAGTGAGACCTTGATTTTCCGCGGTTCGGGCGTTGTATCAGATTTCCTACAAGTCTCAGCACTGGCACCCGGTGACTATGAGTAGCCTTAAAGACCTATGCGCTATGGGTAAGCGATCATGCTGAGTTTCGTGGTAATATTTATTTTTCTAAACAGTTTCAAAAACTTAGTGAAAAAACGTACATTAGGTGAAATATCCCATTTCTGCCTATTTTGAGTAAAACTCAAAAATTCATAACTCAGTCAAGATCAATCCAAGTTATGTCAGAATATCAAGATGTACTCTATTTTACCTGCTCAATACTATGCAGTTTAACAGAACACGTATGTTAACCTCTACAAGTATGTTAAAGTTACAGAAGAAACAGAAAAAAAAAGGTTACGGGACAAAGGCGGTTATGGGACGAAAGAGGCGTGGCATAGTAGGTGGTTAGGGAACAAAGTGTCAGTCAAACCTCACATAACTTCAGTAAAGTGGGAATTACTTGATAGTGAAGAGTGATAGAAACGTCGGATTTTCGCTGTTGTCTATTCTATATATTAGTCAACTTTTGGCATATAAAGAAGGCAAATTGAATAACTTACCAGACTTACCACAGACCGTGTGGTTACGGGACAGAATAAATAATTTTTTTGGGATCACAAAGTCGGAACAAATTTGTGAAAAAACAGAACAATCGGTAACAAAGATAATGATGTAGCTGAGTAAAGCGAAGAAAATACTATAAGAAAGAGAGAAAAATATATTGCTCCACATAAAATAACAGAGAAAATAACATTTACAAAACCAAACGTATTTTGAATCACCAGAAAAACAACATCCAAATAACGGTCAAACATGGATGTTTTGCTTATAATTCGTTCATGGTTAAACATAGAAAAGTCGTACTTGCAGCGATTATAAGCCTAACGTTGTTGAATATATGCGAGAAGTCCGAAAGTGATTCATCAAGGCTAAGAAAAGAAACGCTTGGGATCATTTACTTCATTCGAACGGTACTATTTTTATCAGAATCACTCATATATATACACACTCTCGGCACGTATATTATTAATGATACCAACATTTTTTTTTCATTTTAAACGAGACTAAATACAGTGTCTGTTATATAAGGCGCTTTACTAAACTAGTGAAAATGACACCTACTTAGCTAAGGGAACAGAGAGCTGAATTTACTGTGTACGTACTTCGAATTTACTACCTGACTCTCTAATTCATACTGATTTTTCCTTTTCAGATAGAGATCATAAAATAGACAAAAGCATTGTCTGTTCGATGAACGTATTAAAATTTGATTGCATTATGTTCTCGAAGAAAAGTCCGAGTAAAACATAGTGGAATCAATCGTAGATAACAAAACGGTGACTGGAAAAATGTGGAACTGGTGCATACCGATGCAAGATATCATGCGCACTGGTAGTGCCGGCCGTTTTTCAGTCCTGTACTGCATTTTGAAAATATATTTTCAGATCAAATCTGCTACGATAACGTAAACGATGAAAATACGTCAGGGTTACTACAGTTCAGAGCCCTGCAGGTTGCCAATATTTGGCAACCTATAACCTAACGTATAAAAAATTTCACAACCTAATCCTAACCTAACCATTGAAAAAAAAAATAGAACAACCTATAACCTAACCTAGCCTATAACTTTTGCAACCTAATCCTAACCTAATCTATAGCTTTTCCAACCTAATCCTAACCTAACCTAACCTATAGGTTAGGTTAGGATCAACCTGCAGGGCTCTGCTACAGTTTACGACGGTCGTATACTTTGTTATGTTCTGACTTTTTTTTAAAAAATTTGACTTGTCGTAAACGATCGTATACGACTGACGCAACTACATCGTAGTTTATCGTTTACATATCGTCGTATCTGTCAACGTTTACGACTGACGTATTTCGTCGTAATTTAACGTATATTGTAGTATACGGGCGTGAGTCCTCGACCTGAGGGGCGATGTCATATTTTCTAGAAAAAAAATACAAAATTTAAGTTTAAGAAGCCAAATGTGAAAGATCGATTAGTGAAGTTGAAACAATAACAAAACACTACACTACCTCTACCATAAAAATTATTTTCTAACTAATTAGGAAAGGAAAAAAAAGAAGCTATATGTCGCAATTGACTACCGAAGCGGAAACAAAAATAAAAATATCAGTGGCTACAAAAAATATCGTACTAGCTATATTTAGAAAAGCAGAGAGCTAAGCAGGTTTTCTTGAGGATAGAGGTGAGTTTTCAGTGTTAGAAATGTCCAGGTTAAAAGCAGTAATTTTACATTCATTCTACTTTTACTAGGGTATTTTCTTTAAGAAAGTCAATCACCACTTCATCGCTAATAATCAACTTTGATGTAAGGAAACTTAGCAGCGGATTCGACTATTTCTTGCTGACATTCGCTCTCCAACCTGTGTTGAATTTCTAGTTGATTGTGTTAGATGCAGAATTAAATTCTCTATCGGATGGTACTATTTTCGATGGGGGTCATCGAGTAAAAACTAGCAGTTTTGACCTGAAACACTGGGTTTTAAGCCCTTTCTGCCAGTATATCTTGCTGACATTCACTCTCCAACCTGTGTTGAATTTAATTCTGCATCTAACACAATCAACTAGAAATTCAACACAGGTTGGAGAGCGAATATCAGCAAGATATACTGGCAGAAAGGGCTTAAAATCCAGTGTTTCAGGTCAAAACTGCTAGTTTTTACTCGATGACCCCCATCGAAAGTAGTACCATCCGATAGAGAATTTAATTCTGCATCTAACACAATCAACTAGAAGTTCAACACAGGTTGGAGAGCGAATGTCAGCAAGAAATAGTCGAATCCGCTGCTAAGTTTCCTTACATTCAACTTTGATTTAATCTGATTTGATTTCTGTGCACCACCGCTACCACGTCTCAACTTCATATTACGGATTCCTGTTGTGAGAACATCTTCTTTCAACAAGTACAACGTTGGTGATGATATACGATGTTCCGAACGGCATTTACGATAACTATAATCATTTTCTTGTAGTTTTCTGTCAAAGTGATCACAAAGTTTCCTACCATAAGTCGTCATTTCTTCTTCGCTCTTACTCTCCGCACAATCATCTTCAACTTCAATACCGAGAGCATAGCATGCTGGTGATTTTGACAAATCAATAAACGCACAGTACTGCGGCGGACATTCCTCCTTCTTCTCTTCATCGTCGTGACTGAGGAACAATTTTGTAGATTCTTCAGACAGAAGAGAATCAATTGTTCGACGTAACATTGTTTCACTAACCATTTCACCGGCGATACGTAAAAACTGATTACGTCTTAAAATAAAGATAGAGACACGTGAAGAGCGATTTCTTTCAACTAACAGAAGCAAACAACTGACTAACCTTCCGGTCAGTTCAAATGTTGGCAATTCATAGTAACGTCCGACTATTCGTATAATATCGTCTGTTCGATACCGATATAAGCCGTTATAAGTAGTAAATACGACCTCGTAACATTTTCCCTCTAAAAAGTGAACAACAGAAGATTTAGAACTCATGGCTAAATCCATATGATACCTACCACCATTACATCGACATCAAACGCCAGGAACGAGACACACACTTCTAGATGAAGTTTCAGATGCTATTTCCAATGGCGAAAACCGCAGCTCTCTAGCTAATGCGAGAAAAAAGTTATGAGCATTTTAATATCCCAGCGGAAAGTACGATTTTTCGTCATGTTTCAGCGGAAATGACCTCTGTTGCAGAGCTCTGTATACCCAGATAACATGTCGCAGAACCATGAAAGTGGTCGCAAATGAAAGCCTATGACGTCTTCTATCTGAATCACTCGAGAAAATTCATGTCCAAACGCGAGACCTTGAGCTAGAAAACTCAGAAAAACTTGATTTTCCAGAAATCATGCAAGGCTCCGAAAAACATCGAAAATTTTATTTAAATCCATTAGTCGATAGCCCGTTCAATTCTAAACAAAAGGAAGCATCTGCGAAGTTTTCGGCCTGCTGTGTTGAAAAATTAGAGAAAAAATAGCACATTGGCAAGAAATTTCTTTTTCTGACACCGTTAACTTTCTTATGCTATTTTTTCTCTAACGCAGAAATGAAATCTAGCCATAGACCATTATCACCAAGAACTAAAATTATTAAACAAAAGCAAGAAAAATCTATATCAAAACAAAATCAGCATGAAACTAAATCCAATGAAACAATCGGTTTAGTTCATCTACGTGAAAATATCGTCATACCGGCCCAATGCGTGATGAACGTTATTTGCACAACCAATATAAAGCCTAATTCTCGTTTACTCATCTTTGAACCAAATCGTACACTGCACGAAACAAAACATGTGCGTGCCACTAGAACTATCGTTCAATCAAAATTTCAGCTATTTGCAGTACGTCTATTAAATTCAACAGAAGAGTCAATCACATTAAATAAAAATTATCTAATCGGTCACATGGAAGTAATTAACGAATTTCATGTACGAGGATTAACTACAAGAAGTGAGGAAGAACGATTAAATAAAAATAAAACTAGACTCAATAACCAGGTGTACAATCAAGTGAAATTTGATTTATCTAAATCAGATTTGAATGAAGCTGAAAAGTTGCAGTTATAACAATTACTAGAGCACAACAGTGATATTTTTTCAAGAAATGAATTGAATATTGGGCAGATCAATTTACTGTAGCGTAAAATAAATACACGTAGAGCATCACCTGTCTATCAACGTCCTTATCGTGTATCAGAAAGCCAAAAGGCAGCTATCAAACAGAAAATTTCAACAATGTTAGAAAGTGGCGTGATACAACATTCATCATCGCCCCGGGCATGTCCGATTGTGTTAGTTAAGAAGAAAGACGGTACGGAAAAATTTTGTATCGATTACAGAAAGTTGAGTGCGTTTACTACCCATGATGTATATCCCATTCCTAGAATTGATGAAACGCTAGATGCATTAGGCAAAGCACAGTATTTCTCATCTTTGGACATGGCTTTAGGATACTGGCAGGTCCAAATGGCTCGAGAAGATCGTGAGAAGACAGCCTTCGTTTCACCATCAGGGCACTACGAATTAATGTGATGCCATATGGACTTCACAATGGAGCATCTACTTTTCAAAGGCTAATGGAAATCGTGTTGTGTGGTCTGCAATGGTCAACATGCTTAGCATACATAGACGATATTTTGGTGTATTCGAAAACATTCGACGAACATTTAGAACATTTAGACGAAATATTTGGACGGATCATAGAGGCTAATTTAAAGTTGACACCCGACAAAATAAAAACGGTGGAAGAATTTCCAGTCCCACAAAACGTAGATGAATTAAATAGTTTTGTCAGTTTGGTCTCGTACTACAGACGTTTTGTGAAAAATTTCGCATCTATAGCCTATCCACTCAATCGGCTAAGGAAAAAGAACGTGCTATTTATTTGGGATGAAAACTGTCGACAAGCCTTTCAAGAGTTAAAACTGAAATTAACAACAGCACCCGTACTAAGATACCGGGATTTCACACAGCCGTTCACAGTGTTTACTGACGCCTGTAAACAAGGATTAGGTGGGGTGCTTTCTCAGGTTTTCGACGGCCAAGAATGTGGCATTGCGTATGCTTCACAGGGATTAAAAGATTCAGAAACACGGTGCGCCCCAGTGGAATTCGAAGCAATTGTTTGGGCCATAAAATAATTTAGACCATATCTTTATGGAAGAAAATTCTATGTCTGCACTGATCATTGTCCACTGCAATGGCTACCAGAAGTTAAAGATACCAGTGATCGGCTTGCCAGATGGTCTTTGTCGTTGCAATAGTACGATTACGTAATTAATAGCCGTTCTGGAAAGGGACATGGAAATGTTGATGGCATATCCCGAATGTCCCGAAGACATAAAGCTATTGTGGCACCGGTACATCATTCACCGGTCACAGTATCGCAGATGATACTTGTGCTACAAGCAGCAGACGAACAACTTATACCGATTATTAGATATCTAAAGGAAAATGTTTTACCACCAGATACACAAGAAGCACAAAAATTAGTAAGATTATCAGCTAAATACCTTTTGCATGACAATACTTTCTATTATTTAAGTCAATTTAGTCGAGCTCGTCTTTTACGTAAACAATTAGTTATTCCATACCAACTGATTGAAGAAATTTTAAACACTTACCACAACCACATGGTTTTCAGGGCATCTTGGATCTCAGAAGACACATGAGCAAATAAGAAGCAGATTCTATTGACCGGAAATGAGACATTCGATTGAAGACTGGTGTACACAGTGTCGAAGTTGTGTTTCCCGAAAGTCGCCAAGACCACGTATTAAAGCACCATTAATCCCAATTCCAGTAGGTGAACCATTTGAGAGAGTCGCTGTGTATGCTCGAGCTTTCTTCTGATAGTCTTCTGAGGTTCCTAAATGGAACACTTTAGACTTACCAGTCTTCCCAGAACGGATTTAGACTTACGCAAGCGACTTCCCAATCTCTTGATAAGTTGGTGACGAAGTTTGGTCTTCTGATAGCTTTTCTGACTCTTTTCATGATGACACTTAACCAACAGTTGATCGAGGTCTTTTATGAAAGGTCGTACCATAGTTTGTCCACCATGAACTTCTCTCTCTACAAGACGGTCGCTAATCTTGCGGCGCGCCTTTTCGAGCTCCTCTGGTCTTCTAGACTCAGCTGCTTTAGGATCATTTCACAGTGGGCATTTCCTCATAGAGCAGGCGGCATTTTTTGCCGACATAGTTTTTTTGAATCCAAAAGCACTTTTTTATAGGTTTTCGCATACGGTATTTCCAGCAGTGTGGCAAAGGTGAGTCGT